AATGTAAAATCATGTATTAAAATTTTTTAATTCTTTATTTATTGTAATTAAATTGTATCAATAAATACAGTTCATACGTCCCCTAATTAGGTATAATTCAATCTTTAAATTAATAAAATTCTCTCGTATCATCGAGATTTACCAAAAAAAAAAAAAAATGGTTACTTGTCTCACTAGATAAAACTAAGAGGCAAAGGGAAGTTACTAGTTGGGGTGTGACGGGCTAGATATTATTTCCAACCTTTTTTGAGTCAAATTTGAGTAAGTTTACCTTTAATCTTTATTATATTGAATAGCATTGACAATGGGCCGTGCTTACTCCATGTTCGATTGCTGATTGTTACAAGTCTTGTTTAATCGGGTTCATTTCGCGTTAAGACAAATTCGTGTGGAATATTATTAAAAGAAAAATAATATATCAATTCACTAGTTATAACTCGTACATAAAGGCACGATAAAATATAAAATTTTATCTTTTAAAAAATTAATCCAACTATACTAAATAACAATTTTTTATTTCTTCATTTATTTGATTATATCATTTAAAATTAATTTTTATCTATTATATTAATTTCTATTCTCAAAATATATAACTCGACAAATTTTTTTTAACACGTATACATTATCGTGTATGAACAATGTATGAAATAATAATTATGTTAAACTACAAATTAATTAAATATTAAATGAATTAAAAATAAGCATCTAAAAAATTATGAACTTCTTTGTCGACAAATGATTCATGATAAGCATCTAAAAAATAAGGGTTAATTTTCTAAGATTAAATTACAATTTTTTTGAAGTGTAAGTTACAATTTTAAAAGGCATAATCAATCATAGAATGTTAGGATCGCCACTGAGATTTTCATGACCGATCATGATCTTCCCTTGAGCAGTTGTAATTTCTCTTTTCAAAATTATTACCTTACCTATAAAAAGTTATGATACGGTGCTTGATGGTGTATTTCAACGTGATGCAATTTTATGATGACGAGTAAATAAAAGAAACAATATTGAAATTATTGGGATCTGAGCTACTAGACTCGAGGGAATGATACTGAGAATTGTTGGGGGGTTGGGGAATTAACACAGTAGAAATATAGTGGTTCACCAGCTTGGGAGCTCGGCTAATCCACTCTTCAATGGAGATTCTTACTCTTTCCTTCACTATTTACTATACCAAAAGGTTTACAGAATGTAAGATATGGTACTAGGGTTCTACCCCTTTGTTGGAGGCGTTACATAGTATTTATAGGGCTTTTCCTAATTCTGCGGGATCCGCCCCGAGATCTTCGCCATTTATCTGAGGAATCCTCCTTGATCTTAGGAGGAGATCTTTCCTGGATGAGAGTTTTATGTTTCGGTTATGACTCTTTGTTGCCTCTAGGGTTTTTTGTTGACAAATAGCTATCTCTTTATTACTTCCTCTGCTCCTTCGATTGGGTTGTGTTTTACTCTAGTTTTATGAGTTCTGTGCGTCTGACCTTCGCTCCCGAGCTCATACTTGAAAATTGCTCTAAGTATCATCAGTTGCCCCTCAGATCTTGGTCAAGCTGGCTTGGGCAAGGGCTGAGCTTAAGATGTAGCAGAATGGTTTCCCAATCAATGACTTCGAAATTTGCACAGGAATTTTTTTTTTTTTTGCATGTAGGTGCTCCTAACCTGAACCTGCTTGAATTGATGAGGGTGGAACAAATGACCCAAGCTGAGCCCATGTCTTTTCCTGATCTCATAATGCTAGATAATTTGTTCTTGTTTAGCGCCGCTGCAGCTGAACGGGACTTTCTCTTTTTTTCCTGAATCTGATCTCCCTTCTACCGGGTCTGATGAGAGCAAGAATGCTAGGACTCAGATCAAGAAACGCAAGAGGGGTGGTTCATCCTTTCCTTCATCCAGATCTTTCCTGGGGAAAGTTCTGTTTTCCTCTGCTACATAAAAATTGATGGATCTACTGTCAGTGACTGAGAAGGAGAGGGATGAGCTGAAGGAGGAGACCTTGCGTTTGAAAGAGAGGAAAGCCGAACTGCAGAGACGACTAGGAATTTTGCTTTGATTGGTTTTTTTTTTTTGTATGTTCTTGAAACGTTGATTTTCCCTTTCCATGTTTGCCTCTTCTTATACACAATTTGTGGCTTTAAGAATCTGGCAGCTGATCTTCCATGTCATTTCCTGACTTGTGGACCAAAGACCCCCATTTTTCCTTTTTGTAATGGATAGAAGCTATGAAGTTTTCCTTCTAGTCTACGTGCTGCAGGTCTTGTTTTTAGTTTTTCGGGACCGGGAAGTGCATTCTGAGCAGCTGCGTTTGCTTTAGGGACAGAAGAACTCATCCTGAGCTGCTGAACTATTTTTATGGACTGATAAATTCAACGTGAGCTCTAGGGCTCTTTTTATGAACTAACGAGTTCATCGTAAGCTCTAAAACTCTTATTAAAGACTAATGAGTTCGCAGTGAGCTCTAGGGCTCTTTTTATGAACTAACGAGTTCGTTGTGAGCTCCAAGACTTTTTTTATGAACTAACGAGTTCATCGTGAGCTCTAAGGCTCTTATTACGGACTAATGAGTTCGTCATGAGTTCCAGGGATCTTTTTATGAACTAACGAGTTCATCGTGAGCTCTAAGGCTCTTATTACGGACTAACTAGTTCGTTGTGAGCTCTAAGACTCTTATTACAGACTAATGAGTTCTTCGTGAGCTCCCGAGCTCTTTTTATGAACTAACGAGTTCATCGTGAGCTCTAAGGCTCTTATTACGTACTAATGAGTTCGTTGTGAGCTCTCAGGCTCTTTTTATGAACTAACGAGTTTGTCGTGAGCTCCAGGGCTCTTTTATGAACTAATGAGTTCGCCGTGAGCTCCCGGGCTCTTATTACGGACTAATGAGTTCGTCGTGAGCTCCCGAGCTCTTTTTATGAACTAACGAGTTCATCGTGAGCTCTAAAGCTCTTATTACGGACTAATGAGTTCGTCGTGAGCTCCCAGGCTCTTCGTAAGAGTGAATGAACCACAGACTTGCTGCTTTATTAATAATCATATTACAGGACAAATTTATCGAAAAAATTTCCTAAGATGTTCTGCATTCCAGAAGTGGGGTAAAATTTTCACCGGGTCTGCTTTCATCTGGGATGGCCACCTCAAGAATTTTTCATTTTGTACCTCATACAAGATTTGTGATATTTGTTGTGGTGAGTGGAGGGACCTGCCAAGGTGCGTACCTCGGCTACAACTCTGGATAAGGTGGTCCCAAGCGATCTTTGACGTCTCTCCTTCTTTTGGGGGATCGATCTCTGTCTCTCCTTGGGGACTTATCTCGTCCTTTTTCTCTTCTGGGACTTCGGTCCCTCTTTTTCTCATCTTTCCCTTTGTCTTTTTGCATGGATAAGCTCCCCACTTTTGAGAGAAGAGCTTCTTCACCGTATATGTTTTTTTCTGCCTTGGCCAGTACTTCGGCTATGCTGGGCTGGAAATTTTTCGAAATAGAGAACATCAGATCTTTAGATTGTACGCCTAAACCAGCTATGAATGTAGTAATGGCAAATTTCTCGTCTAGGACATCCACTTTTAGTGATTTAGAGTTGAACCTCTGAACATAGGATCTGAGGTTCTCTTGGGGTCCCTACTTCACATTCAATAGGTGGTAACTCGACTTTCTGTACGTTCGAGCTCCTATGAAGTGAGATACAAAGGATATGGATAGCTCCTTAAAGGCGGAAATTGAGGTAGGGGGGAGCCTATTGAACCACACCAAGGCTAAGCCTTTCAGCGTGATGGCAAAAGCTCTACAGCGCACTGGATCCTGGTATCCATGCAACTCTATCTGCTTCTTGTAAGTAGCCTCCATCTCATTATTCATGGGGAGACCCCCCACGGGTGGATTGGTCTCTTGGACGTTTTCAGGTTGTCTGTTATTAGTAGCTTCTTGTTGATCTTGCATCCGTGGTGGATTTGTCTGACTTCAGCTCATGTTTCGTGTTGATACCATCAGTCACTGAAAGATCAGTTTATTTATAACAGGAATAGTTATTTCCCACAGACGGCGCCAAACTGATGGTATATTTCAACGTGATGTAATTTTGTGATGACGAGTAAATGAAGGAAACAATATTGGAATTATTAGAATCTGAGCTACTAGACTCGAGGGAATGATACTGAGAATTGTTAGGGAATTGGGGAATTAACACAGTAGAAATATAGTGGTTCACCAGCTCGGGAGCTCGGCTAATCCACTCTTCAATGAAGATTCTTGTTCCTTCCTTCATTATTTACTATACCAAAAGGTTTATAAAATGTAAGATGTGATACTAGGGTTTTGCCCCTCTGTTGGGGGCGTTACATATTATTTATAGGGCTTTTCCTAATTCTGCGGAATCCGCCCCGAGATCTTCGTTATTTATCCGAGAAATCCTCCTTGATCTTAGGGATAAGATCTTTCCTGGATGAGAGTTTTATGTTTCGATTATGACTTTTTGCTATCTCTAGGGTTTTTGTTGACAAATAACTATCTCTTTATTTCTTCCGTTGCTCCTTCGATTGGGCTGGGCTTTACTCTAGTTTTATGAGCTCTATGCGTCTGACCTCCGCTCTCGAGCTCATACTTTGGAATTGCTCTAAATATCATTAGTACTATTTTTTTTTCGAGTACCGAACCTCTGATTACCACTTTTTATATAAAAGAAAGATATTTGCAACACAAAATCAAATGACAATCTATTATATGATTATTCTAGATGCATAATAATTTAAATGCATTGGTTATACATGTACAATATTTTCTTGGAATAGAAGAAAATTAATAATAATAAAAAAAACTCTCATTTTTTTTTGTTTCTTCTCTATCACTTGAGAGAATCACACTCTCCAATAATGCAGCTAGAACCCTAGACTGCACGCCCAAGTCCGTTGAAGAATTAAAACTTAGAACAAGAAGAACAATTAGAACCAACACTCATATAGAAGAAGAACACAAGAACTTTTATTTCATAGTACGTCTCCTTTCTACCCTCTACAAGGATACACACCTAATGACTCAAAATACTTCTAAAATTTATAGGACACTCCTATCATGTACCTAGACAAATAGATTCATGAATGATCCTTAGAATCCATACATGAATATTACTAATATACATTCATGTACAAAACCAAACCATTCTTGAACTTAAAAAAACTCTTGAACTGAATTCATGTACCAAACCATGTACATGAACCATGTATGAACAAACTAATAAAGTTAGCGCAACTTTCATCACCATCTTAGTTCATCTGAGGTTTGCTCATGATCCAGGCATCCAGAGATTCAATTGTCACTATCTCGGTGCCATTGTTGAATGCATACAAATGAGCCTGGTCGAAGATTGCCAATGTGGGATAAACCCTAGATGATATACATGTTTTTCCTCCGGCGCCAAAACTTTCTACCACTGAATGATCAATCTACAGACAAAGAGTTCCACAGTTAACCAAAGCATCCACACACACACACACTAAGCATGTCAATTGAGTTGTGTCATGTCATCTTCGTATCGTGTTACCTTATTCTGGTGTCTATGTTACTTCAAATCATGTCAATTCAAGACGTAGAATGCTGGTGTCGATATTTGTGGAAATAAACTTCTTCTTCTTTTTTAATATAGGAAATAAACAATATGTATTTACATTAATAGATTAAAAAAAAAGGCGACAAACAAGGAATGCACATTTTCTTAATACAGGACCAACTCTAAACGGGTTAATTCCTATATAACACTAACCCGATCATTTATTATTTGTATCATGTCATGTTATGCTCGTTTTAACAATAATATTCATATCTTTAGAGAGAGAGTAAAAGTATACCAAACTCCTGAGAGAGAGCTTCTTATCAGCTAAATCTACGTCGACAAAGCCAGCAAATGATGGTTTGTACAATCCTTTATTCAAGGAGGAGCTGCTCAAAGAAACCATATAAAACAAAGTTAGAAAAGTGCTGAAGCGAAAAGAAGCAAGCATGTCAATTGAGTTATGTCGTGTCATTTTAATTTTTATCATATTCGTGTCAATAATTTTGTTAATACAATAAAGTATTTAACTATAAAACAATTCACACAAACACTGAATAAATAAATAAATAAAATACCAAAAAAATTATTTATTTTTACAACACGAGCTATCAGGACATTCAAATGTAACACTAACTTAACTTATTTAATATTCATGATAATGAGTTGTATCGTTTCAGGTTCATGTCATGTTTATCGTAATAAACCCTTAAATTATTCACAAACCTGGTTGCATCAGAGCACATAAGAACTTTATGCTTGTGTTGTGCCTTGAAAACTCTAAAAAAGACAGGAGTGTATTCTTCTAAGTTCCTTGAAGCCAGTGTCAAAAGTCCAAAGGGCCCAACTCCACCTTGAACAGTTGAACCCTTCTGTTTGCAAACGTCTTGGGCATCAATGTCATGCCAGCTGGGATGAAATGGCTCAGCTTTGTCCAAGCTTTGGAACGAGAAGGTCACTTCAACATCAGCCTGTTACATTAAATCATTTTTCGATAAATAAATTTTATTCCCGAAAACCAAATATATTGCATGAAGGCTTAAAACACGCTCCCAAGGACACAAACAACAGTTTTTTTAAAAAGAGAATTGCACAAATTCAACCCAAGTCTATCAATATATAAATCCGGGACAATACAAAAGTGTTATTGAAATTGTTAGCAAGAGCTGCTCGAAAGCTTGACGAACAAGCGAAAAAAGTTTATATATTCTATTTTCTTTATTAGTCAAGGGTTTTTCCCTTATTAGTAAAGTGGCAATGTAGGACATTATTCGATGAAGAAAACAGACTTTAGGAAAGTGGTTCAATAACTCAGCTAGTTAGAGCTAGCAAAGGACTGAAAATCCTTGTATTAATTGTTCGAATCCACTACTAAGCAGGCGAAGGGTCCAAAGGACACATAACCGGAAGCGAGCTGGATTTGAAAATGCAAGTAAAAGAGTAAACCAATAAATGTGAGCGCTCATGCGCTATACGGCTTGTTGGGATCACCTTATCTCGTTGGAGGCAGATTTCCTAAAAGAAAAGCAATTGATTACTCGGATTGGTTCTCATGTCCTTGTTCCCAAAAGAATGGGCAAGTTCGGTTTGAGTGTTCATCAATTGGATAGATCTATATACTCCAAGGTGGTGAGACAAGGTATAGTGCAGTCTGGTCAGCACATCTGTTTTGGTTATAGAGAGCCATAGATTCGAATCCTGCCACCTTGATATGACGAAGTCAGCTAATACTCAAATATAAACATGTATCGACCGATATCATCTCCTTTGACTCGTGACTCATATATTGACTTTCAAAAGCAAGCACACAAGACTTATAGTTAAAGATTACATCATTTAACGCCACAGTATATATATTGGACTACGTAGCACGAATATTAAGTTTTATATGGAACAAACCTGTGCTGCAGTTATTCCTTTAACTTCAACATGATCACCCACATTCAGCTTTTGATTGCTCAACTGCACTTTTTTTCCTCTTATTGATTCTATTTCTTGGATAGGCCATTGTAGCAATTGTTTCCCATTAGGATCGAGCCAAATCGTTCGAGGAATAAGCTGAAAACATTTCCAAACACAAAATTAAAGAGTGGAACTACAATAAATATTCATTAAATGAATCAAACTTGAACAATATTGATTACGTTTATATCCATTAGTACTACCTGAATTCCAGCCCAACCCTTTGCGACGTCTTCTTTAGCAGTGTCCGATTCATTAGCCCAACCCCACAAAATCCTTCTGTTCTTGGCATTATCAAAGAAAGTCTTTGAAGCATAGAAATTGCCATAATCATATCTCAATCCTTTCCATCCATCAACAGATGTGTTATCCGGAATGTATCGATCTTTTTCGAGGTTATACGTGCCTAATGTGTAATACTCATATCTAGTAAGATCAAGGCTAACCTTTAGGACATGCTTAATGTTATTCCCCACGACTGAAGTGTCCAATCCATTAGTACCTTTCAATGACACAGGGAAGAAATCTGGGCATTCCCACATTCCAGTTTTCGCCTTAGAATGAAGAGGGTGTTCGGCTTTTTTCCAATTCATGAAGTCTCTACTCCTATATAAATATGCAATCCCTCTATGCTTTCTCCTACTACCAACCAACATTCTCCAATGCCCATCTCGGCCCAACCAAGCAGTTGTGGGGTCACGAAAAGCGGTCTTATTCACACCCGGATCCGCTTCCACCAACGGGTTGTTATCGGGCTTGATCCATTTTCGGAGATATGGATCCGAGTAATTGGCCGGGACTGCATAGTTTTGTACCTGTGTGTTGTTTGAATCAATTATTCCAGTGTAGAGTATGATAGGCTTGTTGCCCGGGAGGATTGTGGCTGACCCGGACCAGCACCCGTATTTGTCGAACACCTTTGATGGGTAGATTGCTGGCTCTAATGGTTTCCAATTGATCAAGTCTGTGGACACTGAATGAGCCCATACAATATTGCCCCAAACAGCACCTTTGGGGTTGTACTGATAGAAAAGATGGTACAATCCATTATGATACATAGGTCCTAATTAGTATATAGACAGAAAAAAAAAAGGATTAGAAGATGATAAATAAAATTAATTATTTATTTTAATATATATATATATATATAAATATATTATATTGGTAATGAATTAAGTCTTAGGATGATGATACTTACCATTTGGATCTGTGTTGAAGGTTGTTAATGCCCCACAGTACATGAAAAAGAAAATAATTAAAAGCATAAGTTAGAATTTGAGAGAAAAAAAAATTCATATAAAAATGCAATGTGATACTAAGAAACAAGCAGGATAGGGTGGCTAAGTTGGGGGAAAAAAAAATCGTCCAAATAGGGATGAGTACAATTGCTTGAGGGTTTTTTTTTTTTTTTTAAATATTATTGCAATAAAAAAATACGATTGTTATAAAACTAAGGAGCTTTTGATGGATGATTTTGATCTCCCTTCTCTCTGCCTAGGCTTAATTATTTATAGGAGGTATCTACTAAAATCCACCAATCACAACCCATTTAAATTCTAACATATTAGCTTTCTAAAATAATCCTCGCATCGGAAATTTACTAACCTACCAGTAGAAAACACAAAATGACCTATGGATAAAATTGCTTAAATTTTTAAATAATTTATATATATATATATATATATATATATATATATTTCTATTGTGGTATGTACTATTTAAATTAATAATCAATGACTTATTATTGCAAAATTAGAAATATAATACTATTCGGATCCATTGTCACGATGTTAGCCAATAAAAACAAATATTGGAATGTAGTGATCAGACAAGACTTGTTCAAAAACAAAAGGTCAGACAAAGAGAAGCAAGTCAATTATGATTATGATGCCTATGTTAAATAAAACATGTCCCACCTTGGAACTGACCGAAAAATAATGTAGAAAATCATAATATGGACAAAGATATTGTCTCTTGCAAATTTAAAAAAGGACATAGTGCACTTTGTATCTTAGAATATTTAAGAATTTTTATTTTATATCCTTAAAGATAAGATTTTCTATATCGTACGTACGCCTTCGTATATTAAAATTGTGGTAATATGACAATTCTATTAGCTTTCGTTGCTCATCTCCTCAACATCAATGATGTGGCAGAAACTAAAGGAAGAATCGCATTATAATACTTTTAATATATTGAAAGTGCAAAATAAAAATTTTTAAATTTTTGCGGGGTACAAAGTGCGATTCCCTCTTAAAAAAATCAATTTATATTAGAAATTTAGAATGATGACGATATAAAAAAAAAGGTGTCCTCTCCCACAAAAACAAATAAGAAAATCATGAATATTTATCCAAAAAAAGCACAAATTACTAAATTCCAGCCATCTTAATGTAAGAGATTGGGACTAACACCCTTTTATTATTATTATAATTATTTTAGTTTTTGAATCTGTAAATAGAACAATTTTTTATTCACCATGGCAGTTTAATTCAATGAACAGTTGACGTAGATCCTGGAAGATCGTTTGTCTCTTTCAGAATAAGATAGACATCTACCATTACTACCACCATTCGTTGGAAGTTCCCCACATTTAATGAGTTCCAAACTTCATTCATCAACTAGATTCTAGAGATAGTCCTCAACAATGAAAACATCACTCTAGAATCTATCGAGTAGTTCGGATGAAAATTCCGATAAGAGATACGCTTGTTAACTCAATATATAAAATTTGTGAATAATAACGTGTATCATGACTTTATATTATAACTATAAATCTAAAAAATACATTGTTTTGATGATTATTGGTTCCAAAAACCTAGGTACTATTGAACTACTTATTTGTACTGTTGTTGTGAAGAACAAATAATATATTTAATAGGATTGGGGGATTTTTAGCACAAAACATAATAATGGTTGTTATTAAATCTAATGGCTTATAATTATAAGCATTTTTTTAACTACTATAAATTATTTAAATATATTACATTAAAAATCTTCTAACAACACTTGTATTTTACTTACATAAATTTACTTATTTATATTTTAACACTATAAAAGCAAGATATATAATTGTATTAAAAAAATGTGTAAACTTCATCGTATATTTATGTGAGACCTAGTTGATATTTTCAAAGAAATGAAGACAAAAAATCCTAATTTTCAATGGTAAACAGTCAAAAAAAAATCAATTTCCCTATCATTTTCCTTCTCTCTCTCTCTCTCTCTCTCTCTCTCTCTCACTCTCTCCTGATTTTGTTGCATACTTTCAGTCATTATTGTAATTTTGTTGGTAGGTAAGCTTGAAGTTTCTTGGAAGAGTTCTTGGGCAATACAAACTCTTCCTCCAACTTCACGAGTTCCACTTGAAACATAAACACTTTCGTGGGATGCATTAAAACTAAAGGAGGGTCTGTGATGTGCTACAAACAGCTTTGAAAAAGATAGATACCTATCCTTTATTAACAAATTTGGATTAATTACATCGTCTACATTTCCCTATATTTATCCAAATAACATATAGACCGACTCACGTTTTGATATCTTGTTTGGTATTGGGTAGCAAAGAAATGAAAATAGACATCTAAACCAATGCAAAATTAACGCTGCGTAATTATCTTAGATGATCTCTTTGTTGTCTCAATTCTCATATTCCACGCTACCACACATGGCTATTGATTTCACATTGTGCCCTCAACATTGTCCCAAACGGAGACATAACAATCGTATACATATATACAACAATTAAATAAGAGGGGGAGGGCTTGAGAATTCTTCCCTCCTTACTTCCTAATTTCTTAAAATTTAAATTTTTTTTTTATTCAAGCCTTAAAGCTCCCTCCAATCAGACGTTGACATGTGCATTTGTAATTATCTATCAACTCCTCAATAACTAATCACTATTTTTATAAATTTATTCAATAAAATCACTTTTTTTTCACCCAAAAACTTTATATAATTACTTGAAACCATAGATGAAGGGTAAAAGTGTCATTTGACCTAAATAATGGGAAGCTAGTATATGTATTATGGATATTTATATATCCATATATTCCACATTAAATCTGCAAGAAAGGAGGAGAGAAGTCTGCAGATTTGTCTGTGGAACCCACAAGGATGGAGATGGGGTATACCCAAAATAATGCCAACAAGCAAGGAAAGGTGTGAATTCATTATAGCTTACAAAGCATGGAGCCAATAGTTCCTACAACTAAGTAGTCGACCAGAGATGTCTACATCTACATCCATATTAATCAATGACCCCATGACACCATGACAGCAAATAAATGTACATTTATATTATGTGAGGATCGTCAATAATCCATATCGTTTTTTGTTGGGTTTGTGCCGTATTTTTCATTGAATCATATTAAAATTTATACAACTCGTACTCGACTATTTTATCGTCACTCGTAAACCCAATATAAAAAAAAATTAAGTCTATATAATATATAAATCATATCTACTCGTATTTATATTGTACTTAGTTGACTTCGTTTAAACCAATTTATTAAGTAGATTAAGGAGTACACCCTTTTATCAGCCAAACAAACCATTATTAAACGCATATTCACTAATTTTATGTTATTTACGTGTTTTATACATATATATATATATATAGAGAGAGAGAGAGAGAGAGAGAGAGAGAGAGAGAATGGATCGTCCATAAACGTGTCACAAGCCAAAAAGCTTAAACCTACCGGCAATATTGGACCGACAGTTCCGACTAGGTGTGATAATGAAGCATAAGATTTTTGTACGATTTTAAACCAAACTTCCCCTAAGCAAACGAGTGTGAGTGTGAGTGTGAGTGTGAGGTAATAAGTAACACAATGAATTTCTCTAAATAGGGTAAGCCTACAGTTCTTTTGCAAAACTGAGATTAAAAAATATTTCANTTTTTTTTTTTTTTTTTAAATATTATTGCAATAAAAAAATACGATTGTTATAAAACTAAGGAGCTTTTGATGGATGATTTTGATCTCCCTTCTCTCTGCCTAGGCTTAATTATTTATAGGAGGTATCTACTAAAATCCACCAATCACAACCCATTTAAATTCTAACATATTAGCTTTCTAAAATAATCCTCGCATCGGAAATTTACTAACCTACTAGTAGAAAACACAAAATGACCTATGGATAAAATTGCTTAAATTGTTAAATAAATAATATATATATATATATATATATATATTTCTATTGTGGTATGTACTATTTAAATTAATAATCAATGACTTATTATTGCAAAATTAGAAATATAATACTATTCGGATCCATTGTCACGATGTTAGCCAATAAAAACAAATATTGGAATGTAGTGATCAGACAAGACTTGTTCAAAAACAAAAGGTCAGACAAAGAGAAGCAAGTCAATTATGATTATGATGCCTATGTTAAATAAAACATGTCCCACCTTGGAACTGACAAAAAAATAATGTAGAAAATCATAATATGGACAAAGATATTGTCTCTTGCAAATTTAAAAAAGGACATAGTGCACTTTGTATCTTAGAATATTTAAGAATTTTTATTTTATATCCTTAAAGATAAGATTTTCTATATCGTACGTACGCCTTCGTATATTAAAATTGTGGTAATATGACAATTCTATTAACTTTCGCTGCTCATCTCCTCAACATCAATGATGTGGCAGAAACTAAAAGAAGAGTCGCATTTTAAATTTTTGCGGGGTACAAAGTGCGATTCCCTCTTAAAAAAATCAATTTATATTAGAAATTTAGAATGATGACGATCTAAAAAAAAGGTGTCCTCTCCCACAAAAACAAATAAGAAAATCATGAATATTTTATCCAAAAAAAGCTCAAATTACTAAATTCCAGCCATCTTAAANTTACGTCCTAATTTCTTAAAATTTAAATTTTTTTTTTATTCAAGCCTTAAAGCTCCCTCCAATCAGACGTTGACATGTGCATTTGTAATTATCTATCAACTCCTCAATAACTAATCACTATTTTTATAAATTTATTCAATAAAATCACTTTTTTTTCACCCAAAAACTTTATATAATTACTTGAAACCATAGATGAAGGGTAAAAGTGTCATT